CCCTGCGCCTATCTGTCATGTAAGTTGACCCCTGCGGAAAGAAACTATGATGTAGGGAACAAAGAACTGTTAGCAGTCAAGGCAGCACTTGAAGAATTGAGGCACTGGATGGAGGGAGCAGACCAACCTTTTTTTAGTACGGACAGACCTTGAATATATCAGGAAAGCTAAGAGAATGAATTCATGTCAGGCTATATGGACCCTGTTCTTTAACAGGTTCAATTTCACGCTATCCTTTCGACCAGGCTCACAAAACACCAAACCAGATACTCTGTTTTGCCTTCATGACTCTGAACCTATTGCCAAAGAACCCGAGCCAATCCTTCTACTGAACCATGTGGTTGGAGCGGTGTCATGGCAGATAAAATCAGATGTGAAGCAGGCAAATGTGAGCCCAGCATCTAGTGGGTGTCCAAGTTTGTTTGTCCCAGTGTCATTATGCTCCAAGGTAATCCACTGGGCTCACACATCATTCTGTGTGTCTTTGTCTTCCCAGGTCATTAAAGGTCCACTCGACATTCCATGTCAGCAAAGTCAAGCCAACCAAGGAAAGCGCTCTGGTGCCCGCCTCCACCCCCCGGATTGTTGACGGCAGCCCGGCGTAGACTGTCAGGAAGCTACTGGCAGTCCGCAACCGGGGCAGTGGAAAGTAGTCATGGATCCCTTCACATTTTGTCATGGACAAAAGTTTGATTAGTGACTTTTGTGCCCACCACCCAGAGGCTCCTGGGCCGTCAGGAGTCGGCCGTAGAGGGTGGGGGTACTGTTGTGTCTCGTTAAGTTTAGTCATGTTCATGTTTAGTCCTTCCTGTTTTATTTTGTACTCTCCTTTTCCCTCACTATTCAAACCCCGACTTCCTCCCTTTGTGTGATTTTCCCGCCTTTGTAATTGTCTTGCCCCACCGGCCTCGACTTTATTTTATTTTTTTTCCACCTGGTGTTCACTTACACCTAGTATAAATAGTCCTTGTCTTCCTTTGTCTTTGTCAGTTCGTCTTGTTCAGTAAGTGAGTATCGTCAAGTGTTCCAGTTCTGAGTTCAGGTTATTTCACGTGTCAATTGAAGTCTGACTTTTGTTTGCTTTTTTGATATCCTCCTTGAGAGCGCTTTTTGTTAAATAAATCTTTTTTTCTACATCTTCGTCTGTGCCAGTCATGCATTTGAGTCCACCTAATGTGTCAGGTCGTGACACATAGGCTAACTGTAATCTTTACCACTATCATTACTATCTTATTTTTTTATTTTTTTTTTATTATAGCTGGTTCAGGGCATTAGAAAGGTTTGAATCATGGAGGAAATTGGGGGGGTCTCACAATGTCTTTCTTGCCTGCCCCACTCCCATCATTGAAGTGCCTTGTGTCCCTATTAAAATGTATGCTTGTGTGTTTCACAAGCCAATGGAGATGGGGATAATTAAGGTAAATAGCTAGCTATTTAGCTAGTTTAATACACTTTACTCTCTTACATACAGAGTCTGAATTTGACTGTCAACTGCTCGGTTTTATGATGGTCTGCTGTTGTGTATGTGTGGGTCATACTTGGTTGATCCTAGACTACAAAGCTCTTATGTTGTACGTGCCCCAAGAGCATGCTGGGATACATTTTTTTGGCCAATGTGGTTTCTATATCCCTGGTAACATTTCTAAACTTTCTAGAGAACCGCTCATCAAGACTTTACACAATGAAATTACTCACAAGGTTGGTCTTGCTGAGGCATGACAAATATTCAAAGACACTGTCCTGAAATGTTGTGATGTGATGGCTGTTTAAAGCTGAGATCCATCAGCTTTTTAAAATGAGTCATATTAGTCATCAGAGAATGAACACAGCACAACAATCCTACAGTGAACCCTACCTATGTGAATCTCATACTGTTCGATGTCAAATAACTGAGTCACCTTCATTGGATTGTGGTATATTGCAAAGTGTTTTAAGGTATACTCCGATAGATCAGACCCAATCAAGTAAAGTGGTGCTAACCCTTACTACTTCAGCCTAGCTAACTCTTCTGATAAGATAGAATGCACCACTGAACCTCAACATGTTATCAGTATCATCAGCATACATTGGGATCCTAATATACTTGAGAGATTATCAATTTATACGTACAAAATAAAATTGTTCCTAAAATAGACCCTTAAGGGACCCTGTACAACTAGCAGTAGCAATACAGAGAACAAGCAAAACTCATAAATTACATTTGGAGAAAGTAAATGGTGAGGATTCATTATTCCAAATGGCTTCTTAAAACCTAAAAACAAATATACACCACATTTATCAAGATCATTTTTGATTTGTTCAACCAAACAGCAATTTGCCAGCTCTATAATTAGATGGGATAGTTCTTTCACCTGATTTAAAGACAGGGGTTACTACTGCAGCCTTCCATGTATACAGGTAAATAATACTGTGGCTTTAGTGTCAGGATTTTGGAATTGTAAATAATGGCTCTCTGTCACACTGTTCTATTTAAGTGCCCCAGTAAATCTTAAAGAGCTCAAAGTACCCCATAACCCCACTAGAACACTGCGTTCTCTGAATGCAGGGCTACTTGTGGTTCCTATAGTCTCTAAAAGTAGAACAGGAGCCAGAGCCTTCAGTTACCAAGCTCCTCTCCTGTGGAACCA